ATATCGAAGCCTTGATCAAGACCTCCAGGCTACCAATTGCAGACTGGGTTCAGGACCAGAGGTGTCCCTCTGAGCTCTGCCCCTGAGGTCAGGGGAGTCAACAGAGAAGAGTACGGTTTGGGGATGCTAAATCCGCCACATCTGGCTCCTGATCTCACCACTGCACTGACGCTGCTTCCGGTGAGGTCACACGAACCCCTTTAGGACGCCCCCGCGGGCGCCTCTCAGGCTTCTTCCCACTTGACTCTTCAGCAGCATCATCACCGTGGACCACTTCCTCCTTCCACGATATCTCTGTAGTGTCACGTTCTGCTGTCTTATCTCTTATCTTGGGGGACTTTCTTCCCTTTCCCCTCCTCTGCTTCCTCCTCATCTACCACGTATCTGGGTGCTGGGGTTCCTTGGCCTCTTCCTTCTCACTCTTCTGGGCAATCACTTCTAGCCATGGCTTTGCTTATACTCATGCTGACTCCCCGGCTATTATCTTCAACTCAAACTCCAGCTGACCTGATGACTGTATTGGTACCTCGAAGTCCCTGTCAACCCAACATGCCAGAACAGTAGTTCCTTCCCCCTAAAACCTGCTCCTCCTCTCAGTCATTGCACCACCATCCACCCCCATTATACAAACCTTTGGTCATTCTTGATACCCTCTCCTGCATCCCTCACCTCCAGTCCATCACCACATCTGGACTATTCTAGTAATAAAATCTATCTCCAAACAGTCCTTTCTTGCCATCTACCCTGCTTCAGTGCTGGTCCAAGCTCTCAGCTATCAACAGGCTCTTCACCGGTCTCCTCTCACCGTATTGCCTCCTCTGAGCCATTCTGTATCCTGCCACCATAGTAAGCTTTTAAAAACCCAAATGGTAAATTACCACATCTTGCTAAAATTCCTTCCGGTAGCTTCCCATTGCACTTAGGATGAAACGTAAATTTCTTAGTATGTCCTGCAAGGCCCCACAGGACCTGCCTTCTGCCTGTCTCACTGGCATCTGTTCCATGTGCTTGACACTCAAACCACACCATCCTGCAGTTCCTTAAGTGGCATAAGTTCCCTCCTGGCTCAGAGCCAGTCCTCTGCCTGGAAAGCCACCATCTCTCTACCACCACCCCTTCCCTTGGTCTGGTCAGACCTTTCTCACCCTCCAGGACTCAGTTCAAAGTCACTTCCTAAGGACAGTTTCTCTAAGGCAGCCTAGTCTTTTATATATGGAGGGCTCTTCATGGCACTTCTTTGCTTAATGCCCGAGTCCTCCGTCCCATTCACCAGTGTGTCCCTAGTGCCTTGAATAGTGCCAGAGGCTGAGCAGACACTCTCAGATCTTTGTTATAATATAACAAAGAACACAGCCAAGACAGGGACTGGCTCCCAGATATCTGCTGCTCTGGAATGTTTTCAGGTCACCCAGAATCCTGGCTACCTACAGAGAGTTAATAATTTATTTTAAAATATTTATAATTTAACTTTTGTAAGTCCTAATTAGAATTTAGTCTTAACAATTAATTTTTCTAAATGAAGAATTTTCTGGAAATCAGTTGAGAAATAAGTTATTGGCTATTTGCAGCTACCTAAAGGTTGTCTCATGGCAGGGGATAGGAGAGACAGGTGGTTTAAGTGTCACATGACATCTTCCTATGTTGCCAGAGGCATTGGAAGCCCTCTCATTTGACGATAAACGTCACAAGCCTTAAATCTCTATATGCGCCTCAGTGGTATGGTGAAAAGTACTCTCACACTCCTGGCAGAGGTGTAAGTATGTTTGATCCTTTTGGAAAGCAGTTCGGCCATATCTGTTTAGAGCTTTATGTTATACTCCTGGGACTCTAAATGGTGCCCAACTAACTTCTTAAATGGCCACCTTCCCCAAGGAGATCTTCCCTGGGCCGCTCACTACCCTCGAGCCAGGTACCCTTTCCTGGGGGCTTTTTGTAACACTTATCACGTCTGTAATTACTTGTTCCACATCTGTCTCCTCTCCTAGGTTCTAAGCTCCTTGAGAGTATGGTCAAGTACTTGCTATGTCTCTATATCCTTAGGACTAGCAGAGTGCCTTAAGCACATTAAGATAGATAAATACTTGTTGAATAAAATGAATTGAGAAGGTCAGCCTAAATAGAAATAGATGGAACCCCCAAAAGTAATATTAACAGTTAAGCTTCCTGGAGAGAACAATGTGGCCTGACACTGTTTCATGTGCTTTGTGTTATGAAGCTGTCACAGCAGCCCTTGAGCTTCCTGCTCTCACAGATGGAAAACTGAGGCCTAGAGACATTAAATTAAATTATTCAAAGTTAAGGTCAGCTGGTTAGTAGCTTGTTCAGCAAAACCTTATTTATAATACACAAAAATTGGAGAGAATCTCTATGTTATTTGAATAGAATATGCAGCAATTGTTAGAATCTAGGTTTTCAAAAGGTGTGCAGTAACAGGAAGATGGGTGTAGTATTATATTTACAGTCCCACCCGGTTCAATGGATCCTGCTGTGACAATGCTCTTTACCTGCTACATGGTCCCCATGCTTGGGTTGCAGAGTTATAGCTCTTTGAGTTCATACCAGGGTGTCGGGTGGGGCAGAGGCGGGCTAGACGTAGAAAGTGACATCTGGAGGATGAGAGTGTTTCAGAGGGAGAACTGGGTGAACAGGTCCTGAAGCGAGAGGGAGTGTGAGCTTTTGAAGAAGTGAGAGAAATTCAGTGTGTCTAGGGTTTAAGAGATGGGCCTGCAGAAGTAAGCAGAGGTCAAATTGAGAGGATATCTGGGTTTTATCCTGAGGCAGCAGTGCCCCTGGTGATCACTGCAGGTATGGATGTGACAAGTTGGAGGTGCCAGTCTTGGCATCTGAGAAGGTCCAGGTATTTGTTTCAGTAGAATTGATACATTTGTACTTTTGCTAAAAAAGTTGGCTGAAGATGTGAGGACTACATATGGAACATGGAAAATGAAAAGAATCTAAGATTTGAGGTCTGGGCCTTCAGACAGTTATTTTTCAGAGGCTGTAAGAAAATCTCTGCTTCCCGCTAATTTTCATAAAGCTGCTATTTACCCCCTTTAAACTTGGTTGTTTGCTTTCTGCTTGAGACATCTGAGCCAACACAATTCTTTGGTTTAAAACAGCAGTCAGTCCTGTCCTCCTATATCGGGAAAGTGTTAGTTCAGGCTAAAAGTTTCCAGCTATGGGAATGTAAATCTGGGGCTTAATAGCTTGGAGTGCCTTCTGTTCTAAGGCCCAAATGTGGCTAATGGGCTTTAGAGTGTCTTGGCTGTTTTATATTTGTTTCATCAAGTGTAATCGCTGGAGCAGGAATTTCACATCCTGAAGATAGAGGGGTTTTACAAAGAAAATGAGAAAATAATTGTCTTTTTTAGTATTTCTCTTGCTGACTGTTTCTCTTCTCACTATACAAATGTGCTAGAGTGTGCGGTTCAAGAACTTCAGTTTTTCTCCTTCTGTCTTTTATCATTTATGAAATATCTGTCTACCTATGATTAATACCTCTGTCTACATATCAAATCACCTGGAGAATTTGGGGAAAAAAACCAGATGGCTGGGCCCCTGTCCAAGACCGATTCAGGATCTCTGGGGGTGGTACCGGGGCATCTGCAGTTTTCAAAAGTTCCCCTGGTGATTCTACTACAGGGTTATTATCTAGTGCTGCATTAACAAACCTCCTCAAAACTTAGTAGCTTAGGGTTTCCCTGGTGGCGTAGTGCTTGAGAGTCCACCTGCCGATTCAGGGGACACGAGTTCGTGCCCTGGTCTGGGAAGATCCCACGTGCTGCAGAGCGGCTGGGCCTGTGAGCCATGGCCGCTGAGCCCACGCGTCTGGAGCCTGTGCTCCGCAATGGGAGAGGCCACAACAGTGAGAGGTCCGCGTACTGAAAAAACAAAAACAAAAACAAAACTTAGTAGCTTAAAAAAGAATGATTTCTTACTTCTTACAGTTGTGCTTTGGCTGAGTGCTCCTTCAGGGGTCTTGCGTGGGCTCGCCCACGTAGCCGAATTAGATGAGGGCTGGCAGGGGCTGAGCGCAGCTCGAACACCTGTGCCCTGCTCTCCTCGTGGTATTTCATCCCGGGCTGGATCTGGGAGGGATCTCATGATTGCTTTGACCACTAGAATGAGGCAGAAGTTATATCACCTGATTTCTGAGACTAGGCCTTAAGAAGCCTTTCAGCTTCCTCTTTTGCTCTCTTAGGTCACTGCCCAGAGGCCTTCAAGCCCTAAAGAAAGTTAACCATTTTTGCTCTCTTCACAGTAGTTTGCTTAGTTGTAGTGTTTCCAGTAGGATCATGGACAGGAGGGGCCAGAAAGCTAAGTACAAGATTTAACTCTGTCAACACCGACATTCATTCCTGCCTGTGTTTTCTAGATACACTCCTTCAGCCATATCAGATTGGAGAGTCTTCCTCATTTTTCTCTTTTAAAAGGTTTCATCAGCCTAGGAAACCTGATTTACTCATTCATTCACAAATAATGATCGAACGCCTATTATGTGCAAGGCCCCATGCTGGGAATACAACATCATTCTGCGTAAACAAGAGAACACAGACCCTGATGTTTGTCATGGTTCTTATATTCTATAGAATGTATCCATTATATCTGTTGGCAGCAGAGGACATTAAACAATCAATTGAACAATTACTTAGTAGGTTTGAAGGATTCCAAAGGATTCATACTTCAGTGGGGGCCACGAGGGACACTGAACCAGTCTAGGGAGATCAGGGAGATCTCTTTAGGAGGGGACATTTTCATTCTTTTTTCCCAGCCTTCTCATATCTCTCTTTACCTTCACTAACCACCAGGATCATGATCATTTTTCATGTACAGGCTGCTAACGAACAGCTCATCAAGTGAAGGATAGTGCTATCGACAGCCTCCGTCAATCCAAGACAAGAATTTTTCTAAAGGACAAATAGCTTTCTTCTGTTGGGCCAGAATTAGAGAAAAGTGTCTTTCACACTTCCACTTTAGGACCTTGCTTTTTGTGTTTTCAGCAACTCAAGCATCCCAACCTCGTCGACCTTATCGAAGTCTTCAGGAGGAGGCGGAAGCTTCACCTGGTGTTTGAATACTGTGACCACACGGTGCTCCACGAGCTGGACAAACACCAAAGAGGGTGAGTGACCTGTCGTTTACAAACAAAACACAGCAAAACACACTAGGGTTTGCGAGGGAAAATGAGTTATGACCCTTTTTCACAGCAGGCAAGGACAGCCAGTGTTTGGCCAGCATACTCTGCTGCTGAGGGGTTACCAGAAATGTTGAGAAAGAAATCCTAACTCATCATTTTCATGGAGAAAGCAGCAACTACATTATTCGGTTGACCTTGATTTCTTGGTATATTATCTCTGCATAAATGCTATGTCAGTCTCTAGGAAAGAAAAGGAGGGATATTAGTTATTCTGTGCCTGCCTAGGGAAGCATAAGGACTTGGAGGTTGAAAGGAAGAGTTCAAAGACAATGGCTAATAGGAAGTTTAAGGCTAAAACAAACGTGGTGTTTTATCTGAAGCAACCCAGGTATCTGGTCTGCTCTATTGGTCAGAACTTTTTTGGTTACAAATGACAAAAAACCCAACTGAAGCCGGGTGTAGGTGAAAAAGGAAGTGGTGGTGGCTATGATTGGAGAGGTGACTCTGGAGGTCCTGCTGATCTTATAACACATTTCTAGCACAGGCAACACCTTTGTGTACAGCAGCAGAAGGCTCAGTGAGCAGACAGAGCCTTTGTTTGAAGAAAAAAAGGCAGGGGTTGGGGGTGAGCTCCCTTCCTCTGAAGGTCGCTCCTTGCCAGGGTGAGCAGAATGCAGGCTGGATTTTGGCTCCCACCCACTCCTCAGCTGGGTGTCTTTAAGGCAGAGCGCCTTAGGTGGGGCCGTTCTCTCTCTCTCCCTCTCCCCCGCACCAATGACTCCCAACTCTTCCTCTCTGTGTTGGCTTCATTCTGCCTTGGAGTTGAGTCTCCTTTGCAGGGTTGATTTTGGAGGGTATGTGTGTGTGCTGTGAGATGGAAGCAGTTAGGAAGGGAAAAGTGTGAACTAGAAAGCATTGCCACAGGCTTTTATCAACCTGTGTAGCCATTCTAGAAGAAAGGAAGTTCTAGAAGAAGGTAGCGTCTGCATACAAAGTCCAGTAGAAGACTGATTGGCTCAGCTCAGGTGATGCAGCTACCCCTGAAACCAGTCACTGTGCCAGAGGGAGAGGGTAGAATGATTAGAAGGTCCTGGGAGATATGATTCAAAGTGGGTCAATCAAAGAAGACTTCATGGAGGAGGTGACCTTTGACGTGCAAGGTGAGGAGACTCTAGAGAAGTCGAACAGGGAAGGATATCTCCTCTTCTCTGTCTTTTGCTGTGTTCCTGGGAGCCCAACTTTGGCTGAGGACGCTATGTAGAGTGCACTGGAGATCAGAATGATGGAACGGCACCCCGCCCTGGCTCACATTTGCACTCCAGTGGCTGGAGGCTGAGGCTCTTTCAACAAGGCTTTCAAGCCTTGGCCAAGAGCTTGCTCTGCCATGTGGTGGTGGTTATGTATGATCTGCCATGACCTCCGGGCAGATGGGATTAAAGTGGTTCATGGTTCGTTAGTGACCATGGCACAGGCTTTTCTTGTTAATTTACACAGTGAGAGAGAGCCAAGGGAATGGACACCTCCCTCCCTTCAGCAAGTCATTGATACAGAGAAATTATGTATTCAAGGGAGAAAACATTGACTATGTTGATATTTGCTCTTTTGACAGCTTGCTAGTGACACTTCAATTAAACCTACTAGTATAAGTTACTCGTGCTATGTGGAACTAGTGGGTTGTTGCAAGGAGTTTGATTAATCATGTTAGATTGAGTCACTTAGAAACACTGATTAGTGGGGGGTTGCAAGCAATTGGGAGTCAGTTCTTTTTTAGCATGTAGTTTAAGCAGAAGAATAAAAAGACAGGATGAGAAGTGATTAGAGGCTTGGAAGCAGATTTTTTTTAACTCTACTGGCTAAAATCTGTTATATATGTTCCAGAAAATGCTTTAATATAGAGGTGGGTTAGAGAAGGGAAAGAGTGGTAGACGTGTGTGGTTAAGTACAAGCAGCTTCATTTCCAAATGACACTGTGCCATAGTTTATCAAATATATGATTGACTTAAGGAACAGTAATATCTGAGCAAGTTTGAAAAGTAAGATTTATTCTAAGTCAGATCATATGCATTTACTTTGAAGTTTAGGGATGTGTGTGTGTGTGTGTGTGTGTGTGTGTATGTGTTTTAAAAATAAAATTTCCTTTCCATTATCCTGACTATTTGGATTCTCCGATCCTTTAAATGCTATTTCAGAATTTTGATTGTCATCATTAAGGAGTAAATGTCATTAACTCTGTCAACCAATGATTTTGAAATTCATAGGAAAACTTTGTTTCAATGTAGAAATCTACAAAATAAAGCTATACTGTAAAATAAAACTTTGTGAGTGTATTCCCAGTAAAAGTGGGTCAGCATCACCTGTGTGACCTTTAGCAAGTTGCTTACAGGTATCCTTACCTCTAAAAATGAGAGTTTAGTACCAGGTAAAATTTAAGAGAACTTCCAGCTCTACAGTGTTATGAGTTGATGATCTAATACCTAGAGCTCAGAAGACTGCAGTTCTCTTTTAGTTTCACATGTGATCTGTTAGACAATATCAACAGAAGATAATGTGCTAATGCTGATGTTTTTCCTGCCTGATGGCAGGTTGGTCCTCCCTGGGTTTGTACATTTACCCCAAGAATGTCCTGTGATCACTATATTTCCAGGTACAAATTTCTAAAATATAAGGTGGATCATGCCACTCTCCTACATAAGTCATTTAATAGCTCCTCAAAGCTTACTGGTGTGGTAAAAACCCCTAGCATGGGATACAAGATCTCACTCACTCTGCAAGATCACCCTATTTCCCACCAGTTTCCAGTCCCACAGAATCATTTGCATCCTAGGCTTTAGGACACCTGGGTTGCCCTACCTTCTGTACTCTGCCTGGCAAACTCCTGCTTGCCCTTGGATACAGCTCAAAGATGACCTCCTTATGATACCTACCTTAGGAGACTCGGGAGTTCCTTCCTGTGGTATCCATTACATCTTCTGGAATTATTTATGTTTGCCCAGTAAACTATAAAATCTTCAAGGGCAAGAGCTGTGCCTTCCTCATCTGTGTATCCCCAGTAGTTTTTAGCTTAATTCTTGGCACTTGGTATATTCTCAATACTTTATGTGGAGTGACTGAGTCAGCAAACTGATAAATTGATCCTTAAAGATGATTTTAAAGAATAGTAATCATAACAATGTTTTATTTTTCATTTAAAAAGAGTTACTTTGATTAAAATTTTCTAAAACCTAATATTGTCAAAGGAAATTATTAGTACACTGCTAGAGCAACCTGTCCAGAGGGCAATTTGGCAGTGGGTCTACTTCTGTTAATTTACCACAAGAAAATAATCGAGTATGTGTGTAAATATTTAGTTTAAAAAGTGTCTATTGTTAAAGTATTGTTTATAATAAAAAAATTGGAAACAACTGAAATGTCCCATGATAGAGGATTGGTTAAGTAAATTATGGTATATCTTTACAATGGAATACAGTGGAGCTGCTAAGAATCATGCTTATAAGATAAAACAAACATTGACATAGAGAAATGTTCATGAGTGGTTGCAAAATGAAGAAAATATGCTATAATAAAAAAACATTTCACTTTCATAGAATTTATATATAGGTAGAAAATAAAGAAAAGTAATTAATATACACGTTTTAATAGAAATTATCTCTGAGTGATGATTGTATAGATATTTTCCACTTTGTTTTTTTATATTTTCTCCATGTTCCACTTATTACTTTGGCAATGTTTTAATTATTAAAAATAATTCCTGCTAAATCAGACTCAAAGACTTATCTCTACTTGGAATCTGAAATGGATACTAATTTATCTCCTTGTAAGATGTTGGTAACTTCTTGAACTCCTTTGGAAGGCTTTTGGAGAAGATTCACATTCATGCTGCTACTAACAAGCAAGTTTATGCCAGAATATATCCTGTTATAGTGGCATAAATACGTGTCCATTATAATTCCCAGTGCTGTGTTCGTGTTGCTTATATTTGCTCTCAAGCATATTCCTTATCTTCTGTAGGACTGAATAGGCCTTGTACTTATTATTCTATTAACTATTGGTCTCTCTTCTGTCAAAGTTTCGTAAACAACTGGTTTAGGTGTCCTCTCCTCATTTTTCTGCTCCTGTGTAAGTGCAGCCAGACACGTCACCCATTCTTTTCCTGTGCAGATTCCATTACCACCAGATCCTCCTCTGACTCTCATATAGTTTGTTCAAAGAACATCTGGTGGGTAAAGGGCATTACTACAAGTTTTCAGTTTCTTACAATGGAATTCCAGAACTTTTCTAAAACTCTAAAAATCTCTTTTTTAATGTGATGCATTGTTTGTTGTAAAAATGTCAAGCAACACAGAAACATATAGAAATAAAGTTTGAGAAATGGTTTTCTAATTATTTTTCTATGAATATATTTATTTAAAGAGATTGAACTCTACATACTGTTCATTTTGTAAGTGTGTTTGGGAGCTGTCTCCCTATTCATACACACATCTCTACTTTTATATTTTTAAAATGGTATCAAATTCCATGGTGCAAATATACCATGGTTTCTTTATTCAACCCCCCCCATTGATCAATATTTAGATTGTTTCTAGTTTTTCTCTAATAATAAGGCTACAGTAAACATAAATATTTCTGTAAGATAAATTTCAAAGAACATATTATTTCCATAGGAGCTTGGCCAGCCCTTTCGTCCCCATCTTTGTTGTAACCTTGTGTAGAAATGAAGCTTGAATGGATGTTGATTGTTTGACTTCTTGTAATGTGACAAATATTAGAGGAGTAGTGGTGGAAAGGACCGTTACTGTATTGAGAACCTGGGAAGAGATCCACGGTCTTTCTTTGTCATCTCTCTCGTCTCTCTTATTTCTGAAGATGTGTTTAAAATGCAGTGTAATCTGTTCACTTTCACACAGCAGTTGTTTAGGTTTCTGTCTGTTCATTTCAATTTTGTTATCAGGACATTAGGGTCATAGTCCATCCGTTCCAAAACTTGG